CTAAAATAGCCTTAGGTTTAGCCAAGTGCAAGGTCCAAATAGCCTAAAATAATCTTAAAGTCTAACAGGCTAAAAAACTTTAGACCTGTCAATGCAAGATTCAAAATAGCTTTAAGTTCTAGTCGAAACAGATTCCAAAATAGCTTCGAATCCAACTAGGTGTAGGATCTAAAAAATCTAAAATACCCATGGATTTTAGTCAAGATAAAATTTAAAATAACTTCAAATTCAACTAGATACAAGATCCGAATAGCCTTTGAGTTGCTAGTGCAGGACCCAATATAATTTTGGATCCCGGTAAAGCAGGACCTAAAATAGACAGGACTAAAATAGCATTAGTTTCGTATAGCATGCAGATAAAGGACCTAAAATACCCTTCAGTATTTTAATGCATAGGAGCCGAGTGCCTGATCTAAATTGTCTTGAATCCTACCCTGTCCAGAATTCAAGATAGTCTTGAATCATAGATAGTGTAAGATTCAAAATAGACTTGAGTCCCAGCTAGCAACTAAAATAGCTTTGAATTCTATATCAGAATTTAAATTGTTTATGCAAAGGTGAGTTCTCACTCTCAGTGTAGCTGGCCACCTAACTAATATATATATTCACACACACATACAAGTACCAACATCCTTATCTCTTTATGACGTCACCTTGTCTTCCTCTTTCCATTTACTGCCTCTGGACAAGTTGATGTTGGAATTATACGATGTTGACATATTTGCTTTAGGCACACGTGATGACATGCAAAAGATGTAATTACCAGATAAATTCATGTCGGAATTATTCGAGGTTGACTAATTTGCTCTGTGCACCTGGTGACGTGCAGATAATGTATTTATGGAAAAAAAAAAAAAAAAAAAAAGAGTATGACTGATCACCCATTTTCGAAACGCATGCAGCAACAGCTATGTCCCTTTGGATATGAAATCCATATTTGAGGGGCAGCTTTGAGAACAGGAGATCGTGTTTTCAACACATTGAAAGATCTCTGGATGACGTTTCTAAGAGAAGAATGTCTGTGATTAAACAGTTCCTGTGGATTTTTAGGCAGCCGATTGGCACCTCTAAATTCATGAAGGTGACAGCGAACTTCTGGATATGGAGCAATAAAACCTTCCACATTTGAGTATCCTGTGATGGTATTTTCCTGTCACGGACACAATGGTAAGTAAACCAAGAAAACAGCTAGAGAAATAAAAGGTCCATGTTGGAAATTGAGGGCTTGTGTGTGCACTCATGCGCCAATTCTTTAACATGCTAGGAAAAGTGTGTGCAAAATTGTGTACAAATTATGCATAGACGCATCAATACTGTGGTAGCGCACAGACTACTGCAAGTTGTGTCTGTGTGAGAGAACCTTCAGGTATGCTAGGGAAATTTTGATCCGGATCATCAAGGACTGCTCTTGATAAACGAGAATCAACAGCAGCGCCCTCCACGCCCGGATAAATAAATATAAACTGCAAGTCAAATGTGCAAACAGCCAAATTATTGTGATAAAACACCTTATTACGAAATCGAGATTGGTCCTTGGCTGGTAGATGTGCAAGAACATGTATGCCATCTATGACATCGATACTATCCTGAATAAAAAGAAGTAACTGGCATAACATAAGGCATCACAGAAGATCAAGAATAGTTTTGCAGAGATTAACCTTGAAGTATGGATAAAATCTACTTACTAGAGAGAATATCTGGAGCGGTGACCATAGGTGGTGGTTGTATGAATTCACGTGAAGGTGACATGATTCCGTCAACTCTTCAACACATTATTGAAATGGCGGCTTATGCTTTCACTGAAATCTTTCTTGAATAACTCTGTTACGCTCATAATGACTAATAATGTTCAAGAAAATTGCCAGCAGCTCATCTATCATGAAGCATGCCTCTGTCTGAAAATGCCAGAGAGATAGTGGAAAACATGTTTATTCACATACAAAACATTTCCCGGCATGAATCATCAGGGCCATCCAGTACTTCAGGCATAAAGCTACTTCTGTTAGGTGATGAACTATGTCGAGGTTGCCGAGTCAAGCTATTATAATAGTAATAGCCCGTGGCGGCAGCAACTAATTCCATCTTGTCCAATTCTAAGTTGGTCTTCCATGCTAACTGAAGTATCTGTACAAATTGGATTAAAATACAGAATATACAACACAATGCGAGAGGTTAAATATATAGATAAAGAAATGTAGTTTCTCTTTGATGTATTTCTACTTCACTTATTGACCTTCAAGACAAACAAGAATCCCTATAGACTAGGTGATGTGGCCAAATTAACCAAACAATGGAAAGTCACAGTGCTCTCTATCATTTAAGATCATTAAACTTGCAAAACAGCCATTAATAGTCAAACTAGTTACAGCTGCATGGGGTTTCTTGAGTACTTTCTACATACAAAGCATAACCATTATCAGTGACTAGGAAAAATACACTACTAAAAGAGTCAATCAAAACTAATTCAGCTAGGGGTCGCGTTACATTTTCCCTGCAACCATGGTAACCTTTTCTCACTCTTTAGTGAGATAAATATCTCCCTGGCATTGGGGTTCTCAAATAAATCCAAGGCAAGAAAGTAAATCCGTTGATCAACACCTTGCATCTCATCCAATACCTTGATGCATTTGCATATAGAAAACCGATCCTCATTCTTCATAATAGCAGCTGCCCTCATTTTAGAAGCAGCAGCAATTTCCAGCATAGCATCCACAATGGCATCACCAGTAGCCTTACGACTCCTCTTCCCACGACCAGAACCTCCTGGCGTCACAGATTGACGCTTGCTGTGTCCATCCAGCATGTTGACATCATCTCCAGAGCCCGACGAACCATCATCATCCACATAAGCCATAAGTACAATGGAATGGGCAGACGCGCCTTTTAATTCTCAATACACGTATAATCAACAATTTCTCAAATTGAATAAAACCAAAAAATAAGACAATCAACGATAATTCTAAGCATTTTCTCAAAATTCCCTCAATAAATCCAGGAAAAAAAAAGAAATCTTATAAATTTAATTTTCTAACCCACGTTCAACGAATTGAAAAGTAACTAAACAATGCAAAATACAAAAAAGGATCATCTTTTTGCTCTTTTTTTTTTAAGAAATATATTACACTGGTTTCATACATCCAACAAAAAGTGATATTTGATCAAAGCTCGGAGAAAAAATAAAATAAAACCCATCACTATTTTCCCATTTCTGACACTGGATCAATGTCAAAATTATTCTCTTCTTAGCAACCAAACAACGCATTCAGAGAAAGTTCACAAAAACATAAAATAAAAACAACTAAGGGTACAGAATATTTCAGTCAGAGAAGCATGAATTGAGGAATTAAACAAAAACGGGAGAACTAAAGAACTCACCTTTGCAGTGATTATGAGTTTGTTCGTGCTTTTGATTAGAGAATCAAGAGGTGAAAAAGCAATCTCAACCCTCGAAGGGTTTACAGAACAAGAAGAAATATAAAGCAGGCAAGCGTGGAGGCCTGCTGATAAAGCCCAATCCATGCTCTCAAATATATAATATTTTGTTGTATTTTTCGTACATAATTTGTGAATTATCCTTTTTAAATAAGATTTTTAATTTTGTCTATAGAATCATGGAAATAAGAGGAAATTCCAAGGTGTTCTAGAATTTAAATAAAAATGAGATATAAAAAAACATCATAGTTAATCAGATCAAGTGTATTAATATCTATTTATTTTATAATTTTTATAAGTCTCATAACTTAAGTTAGACTTTAAATTCTTTATAACAAAAATTTTAGGAGAACGTAGAATTATTTAGTACAAATCAATATATATTTAAATAGCTTTTAAATAAATCGTATTAGAGGATTTACAATTTTTCATGCTCATTGTGAAAGAATAAATGATCTATATTGATTAGTAAATCATAGCTTTTAATATTATTTAAAAAAACTTTTCTTTTTCGATTCTCTTATTGAAATCTTGTTTTTGTAATTCCATGATACTGCAGGAGTTTTAAACTCAATTCAACACTTGAGTAGGTCCCTTGAAAGCCTAGATTGCATGGATGGGATAAATTGAAGAGTGTACCTCATCAACTTCAACACCTCACTGCCGTAAGTGTTTTTATATAATTTGATTCATGGGAGAGAGGAATTTGAGGAAGCTTTGCCAGATTGGTTGGGATATCTTTTTTTTTTTCCCCCTTTGTTATCAGTTATATTTATTTTTATATTTTTAAAATATTTTAAAGAATTAAAAAATTTTATTTTTTACTTCAAATTAATATATTTTTTTTATGTTTTTAGATCATTTTGATGCGCTGATATCAAAAATAATTTTTTTAAAAATAAAAAATATTATTTTAATACATTTCTAAATGAAAAACTCTTTGAAAAGCAAATGTAACCACATTCTCAAATAACCTCATCAATATTTTTGGACTTGCCATTGCAAGAATCTCAAGTGTCTGTCAAGTTCAATAGCCATGCAGTGCCTTTCTAAATTAAAGCAATTGTGGATTTTGAGGGGATATCTACTTCTATTAGAAAATTGTAGAGAGGAGAATGGCTTTGAGTGGCCCAAGATTTCTCATATCCTATCGTTGGATATAAGATAGAGGATACACGTGTACAAGTAAGTTGAGATTTAAATTTTCTGTTACTTTTTTTTTAACCGTAGGTGTCTAAGACAGCTTACACACACCTCAATTAATCTCATCGCTGCATATAATATAAGTGAAGTTATAAGATATGAGATATGATTTATATTATTTTCTAATAAGAACAAATAAAAAAACACCTTTAGGAATTAAGATTGTTTCAATAATTAATGAGGCAGGAGTCAAACCTTAAAATCAGTGTTGAAATCTTTAACAGCCCTAATTCTTTATTAGAGAATAATATAAATCATATCTTAGAACCTTACCTAACAGCTTAAGCTATTGGGTTGAGATTGTTTTTTGACATAGTATTAGAGTCTTAATGATGAAGCGGTTACAAGTTCGAATCTCACCATCCTCATTTATATGATAAAAATTAAGCACAAGGTAATATGTGTTAGGCTACTGGCATGCAAATTTGACAAGAAAAAAGGTAAGGGATATGATAAAATGAGAAATTACACACAAGAGTTTATGTGATTTACCCAATCTAACTATGTCTACGGGCAAGTATAAAAGGATTTTACTAAGTAATATGAGAATTACAACCTCTTTCTACTAATAGGAGAATAACTAAAATCTCTCTATTACTAGGAGAAAACACCTCACTTACTCTCTTTCAAATACCTCACAATTTTATGGGATTACTTTCCCTCTCTTACTCTCTTTTTCTTCTCTTTTGTGGTGCATCTAAAGGCTTGGATGCATTGTCTATTTATAAGCAAACATCTAACCTTTGTCTTAGAAAAGACAAGAAGTTAGTGGCATCAATTGGTACCCAGTTGGATTCACATTAGAGTCAATTAGTGCCTAGATGGATTCACATTCTCCCACTTGAAGACTTTGATGATTTAATCAAGTCTTCACACTTGATCATTTATGATTCTTCTATCCTTTATATACTTGTCATCTTCATGCTGCTTATGTTTCAGTTAGGCCATAAGAGGATTTGTACCATATATTCTTGTTTGTGTTGACTAATTTGGTCAAAATATCTGCTAGGTTTTTCTTTATATGAACCTTCTAAAAATCTACACTTCCATCTTCCACCACTTCATGAACAAAGTGATATTGAACATCTAAAATATTCATCCTAAATGCAAGCCTATCATATAAATGAAAGGATTTATTGATGAGTTGAAGTATTGAAATTGAAAGGACAAAGAGATGGTGAAGTTTAGAAAAGAAATGCTAGTTAAGTCTAAACATGAATACTGTTTGGTAATTAGATAATAATTTAGCTGTAAAACATGGATTTAGTTTTTCTTTATATGGATGGAAAGTTAAGATATGAGCCTAAAACTTTCATAGAAAGGCAAGACTCAATTCTACTATTTTGAAGTCCAAATCTTAACAACAACGTAGAAGTCTGGATCTGTCCTGCAGCCTAGACACTTTTCAGTGTTTAGCTCATATCTTGAGTTTTAAAAGTCCAAATGACCTTAATTTCTTTTTTTTCTAGAAAGTTTAGACAATTTCCTAGAACTTTTATAGGAATATTGGTTCAAATTCTAACATTATCAATAACGTTTTTAATAGATAAGAAGATAAGAATTGTTACCAAGTTAAGATGTAGTCATCCACTCAATAGTTAGTCATCAAATTAATAGTTTCTAATTTTTTACTATAAAAATAGGCATTTGCCATGAATTTAGACATCTTAGTTTCCATATCAAGATTATACTCTTGCTTTCTCTTTTTGAATTTTAGTAATGCTCAAGTTTTGCTTCATTAATATTTTATTTATGTCTTTCAATTCCTTTCATTTACTTAGTTAACTTTTATCTTATTTATACTCTTATCTTGTTTATTTATGTTTCTCTCTTTCATTATGTTTAGCTAAGTTTATTATGTCAAGGTGAAATGGTTACACTAATGGTGTAAGAATAAGTATAGTGTAACCTTAATATAGACTTTAATATTTGATACTAACATGTTTTGTATTTTTTATCTTGTTCACTCTTAATACTTTGCTTGTTAAATGGTTATTCTAAATTTATGTTGTATAGCACTTGCTACAAAAAATACTTGGCACTTTCATAGCCCAACCGTATGATGTAACCGACACTTGTGCTATGAAAGGAACTTGATTTGTTGTTAATAGAAGTTATAATCATGAATGCCTGACATTAGTTATCTTATTCAATTAATGCTAATACTTGTAAATGTTGTCAGACATTCATGATTATAACTTATGTTAACAACAAATCAAGTTTATTTTATAGCACAAGTGTCAGTTATACCATCCAATATGGGCTATAAAAGTGTTAAGTATTTGTTATACCAAGTGTTATATAACATAAATCTAGATTAACCATTTAACAAGCAAAGCATTAAAAGTGAACAAGATAACAAATATAAAATATGTTAGTATTAAACATTAAGGTCCATGTTGAGTTTATATTATACTTATTCTTACATTAGTAGTGCAACCC